TACTCTTAAGTTTTTGTCATAGCTACATTTAAAGATTTCATGTAGAATTCACAGTATTTGTGAATACCTCATGTAAATGCAAGTACCAAGAGTTCAGTAGGTCTAAAGGTAGATGAATTAAAATGGATACTACAGCATAAGCTCCCCCCGTGCTGTAGTAACAATGAGGTCATGGCACAATGACACTGTCACTTCTTCCATCAGGTGAGTTCTCGAACACATAAGCAGCCCGCTTGCTGTTGCCTTTCTTCTGTAACCTGATTTCGTGGTATAAACCAGAAACCCGGTTTCCTTAACTGGGGTAAGGGATTAGGAGAAACCCGGTTAACTAGATTTCAGCTTGTGTGGGGGTGTGGCGGTGAGAGCGGAGCAGGGTGGTGGGGTGATGGACGCACCTGTGCACTTTATCTAACAAACATGACAACAACGAATCACTGGGAGGTTTCCTGTGCTCTGTCAGAGCTTTGTTGTTTCATTATGACACATACAACATATTTAAAAAAAAAACAGGGATTGTCTTTTAGAGTACTAATTTTAAATCAAGTAAAACTATTTTTAAGACAACTTAACCATAATTAAAAAACCTGATTTGCATACTTTGATTTTATAAACAAATCTTTACTGTTATGTTGTTCTTGTGGAATTATATGAATACAGACTATGAACAAAAAGTTGCCAATGGCGCCATCTGGTGGCCAATCAAGAACAGAACGATTTAAATCAGTAATTTAAAAACTGCCTCTGCTTTAACGCCTTAGTTCATTCTGTTTGGAGCCTGTTTCTGTTTATTTTATTGCTAAGAATAAAGAAAAAAATTAATTATGTATTTAGAAAGGAGTAAGGAGAAAAAAAATGATTCAAATCAGTATTCTCAAACCTTAAAACAGGCTTTCTGTTACTTGCAATCATTAATTTTTTCTGCATGGGAGCTCAAATTCTAATATTCTTGCAACAAGCTTGCCATTGGTTTTATTACCATTTAAAGTTCAGAGACAAATGTATGCAAATATATATAATATAAATATAATACAATTGTATAAATATATAATGAATCCAGAAAGGTCTCATTCAAAACCAGAGTATGAAGTGTTAGTGACCAATATAAATGTTTATTTATTTTTGATTCTCAGGTTATTCCTGAAGCTTTTCATGCATTAAAACAAAACAATCCAAAACCTAACATTTTCTGGTCACCTGAAGTCCACTGAATGTAAACAATGGTGGACATTGTTGCCTAAAAAGTATGGCAACATCTCTACTTCAGGCATTTACAGATATTTTTTTGGCAGTTCCTCCTTGCTCAGATCACCCAGGCTAACTCATAATGGATAAGTGGCGTCTGTTATCAATTTCAGGTCTTGCTATGGATTCTGGGTTTATTTAGACTTTGACTAGGCCATTCGAAGACATGTTACTGGTTTGATCTAAATCATGCCTGTATTACTATGTCAATGTTTTTCTTTGCCTTTCTATGTTCCTAAAGAAGGAAGAAAAAAAATCCCCATAGCATGACACTACCACTACCATGCTCAATAGAAATTTCCTTTAGAGTAGAAAACTACAACCTTAATCTCATCTTAAGACAATGAAGACATTGGCAATTTCAAGTGTTTAGGTTTATTATTCTTGAACAGTGTATCAACAAAAAAACTCAGCAATATTGATGAACATATTAATGAGCACGGTTCTCCTCCACATACAATCGCCTTCTGACTACAGCAGTGTGTACACGTCATTACACAAGATTAGCTTAACATATAGTCCTGACTGGGGGGTGGGGGGTAAACCAATCGCCAATTCGACATGTATGTTGATTTCCACCATTACGATATAGTTGTGACCATTGTCTCTTGGCAAAATGAAACATGCAGCATTACCTGTTAATAATGAGCCTAAAACGGTTTGTTTTTAGGCAGTAAACTGGTTTGGTCCATGGCAAATGAATTGTCTTGCTTGATAGAAAAGAAGAAAACAAACGTTTTTTCCTGAACCTTTTTACGACTTCATAGAAAATCCCAGTAATTAAAGTGACACAGTCATGGATTTAAAGTCAACCTTATATATATTTATATATTTAATGTAAGTGTAAAAAGAGAAAAAATATATAGCACATATTGTAAATATCTACCTTCTGTTTTGCCTTCTTCATACCACATAAATGGGGTTAATATCCTACAACCGGACGTTTGACACAATATATCAGTCATACTACCAAAAAATACCAAAGCAGATCTCTAGAACAATTGTCCTTTTAAGGGTTAGTTTCATAGTCGCATTGCGATTTTGCCAGAAAAACAAGGTAGAATCGACAGCTACAGCAATCAGGACCACTTTTGTCTCTCTTTTTCTAATCTTTGTTTCTGAGTTAGACACAGCCAGGGGACTTGGGACCAGATATTGACCAAGAAGGTTGTTTGGAACTTTACTCATCGATCAAAGGCAGGTACTAAATTCTTTAGCCATTATAGAGGATTAACATTCTGGATTCAGATAAAAAATAACCTTTACAATGGACCGGAGATCTCAGTGAGCTTTAGATAGAAATCCTTTCAGGTATTGTTGAGTTTGAGAGACAGGAGGAACTAACAGATGAGTGTTGGACGCTATGACTTATTCAATCATGGGCAACAAATGATTCCATGCCCCCTTTCTGGGGTGATTCTATAGGGCCAAATTAGTCCAAAAATGTAGAGACGATTGGTTTGCTTAGTTTTTGTGCAGCAGTAAGATGTTGGATGGCCTGATTACCCCTTTAACCATGAGGCAAACAGACAGTGATAGGCAGGACAACCAGACAGCGCAGTAAAAACAAGAACTCAGACAATGATGATGATATCAGATGATAAGGAGTAAGCAGTACTGGTTCCATGACACCATTGGTTCTAAACTCAAGCAGTGAAGTCAACATTCTCATCACCCCTTAGATCTACCAGGTCAAGCAATGGGTTAAAGTTGACGTCCAAGATGATAGAATTCATTTTAGGATCAACCAGTCTGACACAACTGGATTCAATGGCTGAATCACCTCCTCACCATGCAGGCAACTTCTAACGTAAATGGGTGTTATCTTGGCGTAAGACCGGACCAATGATGTCACTGTCTGGTTCCATTGAACCATTCCTACAGAGAACCAAAGTCACGCCTTGGTAAGACTCATCCTTTCCCCTAGAGCTGCCCTATAAGAACAACATGGTTGTCAGTGCAGATAGTGACTTTTTCCCCAGCCCACTCCCTCAGTGGTGAGGCAATGGGCCAAGGAGGGATTGCATGGTCCATTGAGAAAATGGATTATTCACAAGGGACAGCTAATCTGTAATCTCCCCATTGCCAGGTTTAGTTTAAGTGACATTTAAAGTCCAACAGCTGTGCTTTGTAGAAGCAGATGTAACAGTCATCAGCTTGGACATTGTGAACTTTCACCAAGTGTGTGGATTCCTTTTGTGTCTTCCAGTGAGGGGCTAAAGGCCTGGTTATCCTCCTGCAGCAGTGTGTCGCAGTGAGCTTGTCGCAGATATTTTTGATTTATGCCCAATATTGAAGCATGGTCTGCGCTATGTTTTTCCACGCCACAACGCAAGACGGACAATCAGGAACTAGCTGTGGGTGTGGATACGGCCGAGGCGGTGAGGAAGTGGGGGCAAGTTTGTGCGACAACGGAGGGACATGAGGGCGAAAAAGAGCGGGGATCCAGCTGGAAAAAGTGTCCCAGCGTTCTCGGGACCTCGCTTTTCTAGCTGCTCCATCTTCACGAGTCGTTTTCCACAATGGCGGTCATACAGACAAAACAAGACGGTAAGATACCAAACAGGAAATACGCATGATTAGAGCGGATGTAGATTTGACCAATCAGAGGCCTCCAGTCTGCTGTCACCTACAATTTTGGAGAGGTGCAGCAGAGTATCTGCGGAAGGGGCAGGTGAACATTTGCATTTAATGCGACACACATGCAGACGACCTGGTTTCTAAGCATAAATCAGCCTGTACGATAGACTGTACGATTACCTGGTCTGATGCAAAACCACAATGCTACCTTCTTAAACGCCACCCAGCTCTTATAATGCTGTCAAATACCTCAACAAGGCCCCCCCGACTGTTCTGACGGTTGGACGCTCAAGCAACCTCCCGATAAAACGGTCACTCCCCATGGCGTCTGCTCTAAGACGTGTTACCTCCTGGCCAATCGCATCGTCCACATATCAATTTTCTTCTTTTTTCTCATGGCTAAAGGAAGAAAATGGCTAGCCAGGCTTTAAAGGACACCAACGCACGTCTGTTTGGTAGATCCTCACTTTCTTTTGTTTTCTCTTTAGATCAGGGACTTTACATGAAACACAGCCAATGTAAATACAGTGAATCTCAGTAAAAAGCCAATTTATACATAAAAAAAACACTAGCAGCATAAATAACATAAATATACAGATATAAGCCTTCATAACTATCTTCCGTCCAACATTTTGTATCATCCTTAAGTAGAATTGACACCAAATGCAAGAAGAGAACAGAAATGGGGATATAACAGAACTGATGAGAAGGCTGAAGAGGTAAGTTTCTACATAAGGGCTTTAGAAACAACAACGACGGACACTGGGATTTCTGTCAGTATGCTTCCTGATTCTACATAAACATTAGCAGACATCTTAGAAGCATTTTCCTCAGCACCCACATTCTGTTTTAGATGTTTAGACTTTTTTTTTTTTTTTTTTAAATAAAGGTAGATTCCTGTTTAGTGCAGAACAACAGACCTTGACACAAGATTACTTTGGTAACTCCTTAGTTCCAACCATGAGACAAGATGGTTAAAGACCAACCCTACAGGAAATGTTTGTTTGCATCTATGTGAGAGGGGAAAAAATGTTAAAAGAGGATGAACAAAAAGATAAAAAAAAAAAAATTACAATTTCACAACACAGAGAGGAAACTCTTGTGATTTTGACCTAATTTAGTTCCATGTTACTTGACAAACTCATCTTCTCATCTTTTTAAATCTAACCTATAAAAAACTGCTTTTGTTTTTACCACAAGCTTCATAAATAACCAAAACTGAGATTTAGTTCATTTTAAGAAGCTTTAGTTTCTACAAACATATATATTTGCTCTTTTTTATCATTTCTAGATGCCGTTTACCTTCTTTATTAGATCAGTCAGCTTAATGCTATTCTAATGGATGCCTCCTAGTTAATATTTTCTAAACTATAGTGATACATCTAGCTACATAAAAAGGCACTTTTGCATGTTTTGATGACTTTAGAAGGAAGTAGCTTGGCCTGCAATGCTTTTTAGTTCATCATCTTACAACTTAAGAAGGACACAGCAGTTTATTTGGCAGCACCTCCCTCCACCATGTTGTTTTTTGCAGAAGTTACTAGATTAAACTTCTATTATGTCACTGAAATACCAATATGAAGGAGGATTCCAGCATGATCCCTGGTGTTTGTGACTTTCGGAAAACTTAGAACGTCTGTTTGATGTTCTTAATCTTTTGATACATGTCCAAAGATGTCATTTAAAATTAGGAGCTTCCTGGGAAAATGAAGATCCCGTTTAAAAATGCGGCAATACCTTCTCCGCAACAGCAGAGGGCGACAAACCCGACATAAAACATCAAAACTGAATCAAACAGAGGCAATAGAATAGCTAACTCTGCGATTACTTTGTAATATCACCCGAGTTTAACGGGTTCTAGCAGCAGGTCGGAGCACATGGCTTTACAGGATTATGTTAACTGTTGTTAGCAATGAAAGAAAATCGCAATATGGTCTCATTAAACTTCTACGACTAAATGTTTTCTTTTTTAATCTGTATTCCGGTTAGAGCTGTAAAACTTACAGGAAATCATGCTGAAATCCTCCTATTATAGCAACAGATTTGGATTCCAGGCTTTAAGAGGAACCCAGTTTTTAGCTGTGTTAAAATAACCGCCAGTGTATAAACTATCAAAGTAAGGATGCAAAACCAGGGATTTGTGTTCAAGCCTGAATCCTGCCGTCAACGTTAAGCTGAACATGCAGATATGCTTATTTAGTGTCCTAGTTAGAGGGCTGGGCGAGAGCCATGGCTAGAGACGACACAAATGAAAAATAAACTACAGAGGTAATGCGGCGACGCTCTGTCTTTTCTGAGCGGACCTACATAAGTTTTGATGAGGGTTATATTTAACGCCGAGAGGCCCGGCAGCGCGGCCTCCAGCACCAGCGGGGGCTTTGCGGCCCGACCCTGTGTCCGTAAAAGGTCTCTGTGGTGCGCTCTTTGAGCGTGTCAGGCCTTCCCTGCCTTCATGTACGTAGGGATGGTGCCTCGTTGAGTCAGGCCCTCGAACCGTTTGTACGTGTAGTTCAAGAATACCCAGTCCTTTGATTTGAAGTCAGGCTCTGTTGCATTGGCTGTTGAAAAACAAACACAAACAGAAAAAAGTATAAAAATCAGTAAGCAGTGACGTACAATCTGTAACTTCACCACTAGATGTCACCAGATCCCTCACAATGTTTCAATTTTCCTGGTTAAAAAATGGAAATCCTAACAATAAAAATGCCAAAAAAGAATTGTATATCTGATTTCTGAAAGTATTTTTCCATGTTTCTATATCACAATAACTCCTTTAGTGCAACAACATACAAATAACTGAAATATATATATTTCTTTACATGTTCTGAGCTTTAAATCGAGATTATATCCACAACTGAGTCAACATAATATACATGTTAGAGAACAGTTGAAGTTAGAGGAGTTTTACCACAAATACAGATTTTACCTTCAAACTGTTTTTGGCATCATTTTTACACATGATGTGGTTAGCATGGCAAGCCGCTAAGCTAGGGGATAAGCTAGCCAGATCCATCATGTTTTCATGACAGATTGAGCATTTTAACTTTAACAGGTTTGGCCTTCCTGTTATCCACTTTAAGTGTTGCTCTTTTTGTAGCCTGAATGATCCACCAACACATTCCAACATTTCTTAGAACATACAGTTTTATTTTAACTAGCTTCTGGTGACTTTTGTCTTGCTTCCTTTTCCTATTATGACATGTGTTGATATTAGCTAACATTGTCCGGTCGTCACTAGGGAGCATTTACTGATCCATAACAGATTGGATTCATAAAATTACAGTCTGAGTCAATCAAAACCAGCTGATCAGAGTCAGCAACGGATATTTCAGAGCGTCTCTACTCACCTGGCTGGAGGATGTCTGATTCGGGGAAGTCGTCAAAGTTTGAAGTGTCATCAATACTTTTGATTTCGATAGAAATGGCTGCTGGCCGCTCCCTGCGGATGGAAACGAGAGCTGTTCCATTATCTGACAGAAGCCTGCTCTGGTTTAAGCTAAGGTCCCTGTTTAGAGCAGCATGTTTTATACCTGATGTGCTCCCAGTCCACCGACTCAAAGAACGGGTGGGTTTTGATCTCCTCCACGCTAACGGCGCCTATTCGGTTCTCCGCATCAGTGCAATACCTTAATTAACAGATCAAAAGGTTTATGAAACAACAGCAGATCCAGACGTTTGATCCGATACGTGAAAACAGATGTAACAGAACCTTAGAATCAGCTCCTTTGCCTTCTCTGAGATGGGGACTTCAGGTGGGAAGACAAGGGTTTCCTTCCAGTTCATGACCTTCCTGTACGTCTCCTGTGGCGTCTCCGAACAGAAGGGTGGGTAACCTGCATCAATCCGAACACATGGAAGATAAAAACGTTACTACTTCACCAGCATCTCCAAAACAAAACGCCAGAGAACGTTGATTCTTACCGATGAGCATTTCGTACATGATGACACCCAGAGACCACCAATCACAAAGCTTGTTGTACCCAGTCTGCATGAACACCTCAGGAGCGATGTAGTCTGGCGTTCCTACTGTGGAATAAGCCTGGAAGGGAACCACAACATTTAAAGCTCAGGGTTCTGGACCGAACATGTGAATATCGTGAAACAGGCTGGTTAAAAGGGTCTCTCTTCATTATCTTTACCAGCGTGCTGCAAAACTGTGGTGATATGATTTTTTCTGGTCAATTCCCATCCCTGTTAAAAACACCTATGGGGTGTTCAACTTTTTTTTTGTTTGTTTGTTTTGGGTCCAGAATCCCAAGAGAATTGTACTAACAGCTGACTGAGGGGTGCTGACAAAGGTACTGACCACAAATTTAACATGTTTAGAAATCAACATTAATTTATCCCTAAAAATACAAACTAATTCAACAGTTATCATGTCTAAATGAAAGCTATTGGTACCCTTATTAAGGTAACACATAAAAGTATTGTTCTCCAGTTTTAGATGTTACTATTTTGCCTAAAATGTTTTAATTAGGGAAAAATAACTATTTCCAATCCCCCTGCAGTACCCCTCTAACCCACTAGAGGGCTGTAACGCCACATCAGGTTTTTAGAGGAGTCATAAGCTGGTATTTTATGCAATTCTTCTATAATTGTCCGAAAATTCATGTTTAATCATTTTTAGGAGGAATAAGGTTGGGGCTCTCATATATTGACATGAGCTTGAAGATTTCCATATCAAAACAACTATTTTACATAAGAAATAAACAGACTAATTAATGAACTTGTTTTATATAAAAATAAACTATTTCTGTCCCTGTAACCATTTTCCTAAATATGTACATTTCAAACAATTTCCTTTACGATCCGATAGCAAAATTTAATTGTATATGGTACTTATAAAATAATATTTTGTTAAATGTATAAAGTAATATAACTGCTCTATAACAGCTGTTTTCAGGACCCTCTGTCCTGCATGTTTAGGTGCTTCAGGTGATTAACAGGCCTCTGCAGCCCTTGGTGGCTGCTGAGGAGGAATGCAATGATCTGCTGGAGCAGAAACACATCTAGAACAGAAAAAGTTAGCCCCATGTTTGAAAACCACTGCTGTATAATACTGGATTGCTCTAATTAAAATTCCCTTTCAAATATTTTGTTAAATTTAAACTGACTATTATAGAATAAATAATAATTTATACTGACTAAATTGTCAGTATTAACATTTTAAGTTCAGGGTTTATACATGAATGAGTAACTCTTATTTAATGCTTTTTAATGCTCTTTTAATGCTCTTAGAAGTAATCTTAATGCCATCAACAAATACCCATGACTTAAATATATATATATATATATATACACACGGCAAAATCCTTCACCATCTTCACCATGGACAGGCTGCAGCCATGTCCCAAGTTCCTCGTTTTCCTGCCACTTTGGTTCAAATTTGCATTTTCCCCATTCTCTAGCCTTTTCTGTGCCTCAAGCTTCTTTTCCTAAGCATTTTAATGCCACGGTTATCAAATTTAATGAATTTTAATGCCAATTAAGGCCTTAATTTAAAAAAAATAATAGTTTAATGACTTTAAATGATTTTTAATGACACGCAGAGACCCTGAAGTTAATTGAATCATTATATATAATTGGACTGATTGTAAATAGCAAAACACATATTTCATAAACTGTGATTTTTAACCATCAAGTGTATATTTTCTAAAGCTGTTATATTACAATTGCTCTGTATTATCATTGAAATAAACTTTAAATGACTAATTCTGAAGGAAATCTGACTTAAACTGAACATTTCTGTGCAAAAAGCTGAATTGAGGCAGGTATTTTTTGGAAGCGTGTATTTATTCTGTAAATTATTTTATAACTACTTTTATGAATATGAGCTTCTGCAGCAGTGCTTAGTGCCATTTAAAGCTCCACATATTCTCTGTAACTGCACTCTACCTGCTTTCTGTCTAGCAGCAGCACCTGTGCTCTTCCTCCTACATCCTCATCATCAATAGGCTGTATGTCCCATTTCACTACTTCCTGAACTTCAGCCAGCTCCTCTGCTTCCTGTCTTTCAGGAGCTGGCTAAAGTTCAGGAAGTAGTGAAGTTGGACATGTAGCCCATTCTCCATATTCTTTGTTGTTGTCTAAACAGGTTGTCATGTTGCATCAACTTCTCACTGTTTTCACACAAACATCGTTGGTCGCATTTTGTCTCTTTGTGGCGCTAAAATAACTCCTCATGGACTTCAGTTATGATCTACTACTGTTTTTCACAGCAGCGCATCACGCTCTGCGTGGTGTAACAGACGCAAACGCAATCTTCTGTTGGTGGAAAGAGTAGTTCCCATAAAGCACGTACATTTTGTTTGTTAAAATGCATGACCTAAAATGTTAAAATTCTGATATCTGAGGTTTCGTCTGAGGTTGCCTCACATGCAAAAGGTCAGCGGTTCAAAACCTGGCAGAAAGAGCCTTTGGGGAGTGGTGGCATAGTGGTTAGAGCATTGCACTTGGGTCCTGGAGATTTCCACAAACTGTCACTCTGGGTCCCTGAGCAAGACCATTAATCCCATACTGCTCCCCGGACGCCACACAATGGCAGCTCACTGCTTCCCAAAGGGATGGGTTAAAAGCAGAGAGTGAATTTTCTTATTGTGGGGGACAATAAAGGGATTTACATCTACATACCTATCCAGGAGTCAATTCTTTTGGCTCACACCAGAGCAGTCTCTAGCTGGATGCTGAAGACTCCGGGATAGGTGTTGAAACGTCTTCAAAAAACAGAGCGAAAGTCCAGTTGCCTTCTAATTTAAGCCTGTTTGTGGTGCCATGACCATGACTGAAGCTTGATTTATGCTTAAAGCGTCCGCAAGGTCCGTGCAGCAAAATTCCATCATTTTAGGCTCGCAAATGTAAACATCTAGAGAATCAACACATTGTGGAAAAGCTCCAGGAAAGAAATTAGTGTCTCGGATGGCATGAAGAGGCTTCGATAAAGTTCTAAAAGGCTGTTTTCTACTTCCTTGTGTAGTGTGGTTTTGTCAGCTTGCTCTTTGTGCTGAACATGCTCCCCCTCGGAGCCGGCAAATACAGGAGCACAGAGTTTAAATGCTGCAGCTGCTTAGAAAGGCGGAATGTCCGAGCTTCAAGCATAATGGGCCCTTGAGAATTTGCACCGTCATGTTCGTTTAATATCTTTTCCTGATCTCTTACACAACAGGTTAAAAAAGTAGACAAGCAGCAACGCTTACTGACCGCCTGCAGGCGAGTCTCTAATTGTTAGAATCAGCAGTTTTGGTGGAATAAATATGGAAATGGAGATATGAAGACAGGCTAATGCTAGCATTCTACTACGAATGACATAAACTGGAGAATATTTGCAAGTTTTCACTAAAGCCAAACACCAACAGAGATGCTTTATCAAGACAAAGTCTGATTTTCACATTTGGACTCTTTTAAAAGTGTGCTCCACACTGGAAAAAATAAAAATCTAGATTTTCTTAAAATAAGTGTATTTGTTCTTGGATTGAGGAGCTAAAAGAGACAATGAAACAAGACAATTTAGATTGAAAATAAGAAAACACAATTGCATTGTCTTCTTTCAAATTCATATTATCTAATTATCTTCTTTTAAGAACAAAAATACTAATTATTACTTAAATTAGGAGTAAATACACTTAATTTAATAATGTTTTACTTATTTCTAGATTGTTTTTCCAGTGCATGTATGATGCTCCATTTCCGATCCACTTAGCCTGAATTATTACTGAGACTGAAAATGTATTGCTTTTATAATTATTCAGTGGTGATCAAATGGATTATTAAAATTAATACGATGTTTGCGGACGATGTTTTTATTTTCACTTTTTCCTTGTTTGTTCAGGAAGCATACCAGCTGCCTCCTGTTCTTCTTCCAGGTTTCTGCTTTCCTCTTTGAGTTCATGTTCTGGAAAGCTAAGAGAAAAGAAGCATAATGTGAAAAGTAGTTATTTTTCTTCATATTTGGTTCAAACTCTGAAGCTGGATGGCTTACAGAAATCACTTGGTGGGTTGTGCGTCAAGTTCCTGTAGAACTCGGTGCGATGGGCCTTCTTCAGTCCGGTGCACAGGCCGAAATCCGACAGCTTCACGTGTCCCTGGAAGCAAGAAGACGTTTGGTGGGATTATGGCCTAAACGGTCTGAGTCTGGAGATGTTGGGATGTTTGCCATGTTTGCGTTCTTACCCTGGAGTCCAGCAGCAGGTTGTCTGGTTTGATGTCTCTGTGGATGAAGCCCAGCTGGTGGATGGAGTCGATGGCCAGAACCGTCTCGGCGATGTAGAACTGCGTGGCCTCTTCGGACAGCGTGTCCTTCTTCATCAGCAGCGTCATCATGTCGCCTGGTAACAGAAGTCAGAGGTGGTTTTTGGCAGCTTGTGAAACATCAGTCTAGACGGTCTGAGGAAATACCTCCAGGTAGGAACTCCATGATGAGGTAGAGGTTCCTCTTGTCCTGGAAGCTGTAGAACATCTTGACCACCCAGGCGCTGTCCGCCTCCACCAGAATGTCCCTTTCTGCACGGATGTGAGCCACCTGCAGGAGGAGCAGATCAGGATTGTCACTCAGGAGTCAAAGCTGGTTTTTAACCTTCCAGGTAGATTCTTTACTTGTTCTTTCTCCAGCATGTCTGCTTTTCTCAGGATCTTCATGGCGTAAATGTGTCCAGTGTCCTTTTTCTGCACCAGGCGGACCTAAAAGAAAAAAACAAAGCCTGAAAACCTCCACTCACCTTGGTTTTATTGTCTTTATATTTTCGTGAAATGTGTCTGACCTCTCCAAAAGCTCCTCTTCCGATAACCTTCAGAGACTCAAAGTCGTCCAAACCGAGCCGCGTCCTCTTCAGACGCAGGAACTCCGTCTCCTTCCGGGCGTGCTGCGAGCGCCGCATCACTTTCTGCAACCCACAGAGAGCTGCTTGAGAGATTTCGCTATCTAACTGTTATTTAATGCTGGATAATCGGATTAAATCCTAATAAAGTACTTTTGTTTTTTAAATGAAAGAAAAAGGGGATTATTCGCACCTCCTCATCTGGCAGGCCCTCTTCTTCCATGGCCTTTTCAAGCTTCTTCTGCCTAAAATAAATGCCAAAAAAGTATCAGTAAACTGTACGTATCACAAAGCGTCTTCAGTCTCTGGTTTCCTCCTGGTACGGTTGGAGTGGCAGCGACTAGCAAGGTGTAAACAACTATTCAGGTGAACTCCCAGCAGATCAACCTTCAGGTAACAAGAGAACATCAGTGGCAGTGTTTTGTTTCCTTCACCTCTTTGGTTAAACCACCTCGGGAGCATTGCCTTATCTACTGGGGGAAACCCGACGCCGTAAACAACAGCTCAGCATTCGAGCCCCTCCGTTACTTTGCTCGGCTGTTTAAAAAAAAAAAGAGGTTACCTCATCTCCCGCTCCTCGTGCTGCGTCAGCAGCGTGCTGTAGAAGTTTTCCAGAGTCAGCTTGGCCACGGTCACCCTCTCCCGGGTGTGGTTGCTCATGGGAAGGGCAGCTGCCGTCCCCCCCGTCATGGCCATGCTATCCTATATGAACGGGAGCAAAACTGCCCTCAGTTTGTCTTTTTGTAAATCATTAAAAAACAAAGAAACAGAAATGCCAGCGATGGCGGCATGTAAACATCTGACAGTATTTTTACACCTTTGGAAATAGCAAGGTGTTACCAGTAAACTTAATGCTCCATTTATTTCTCTGCTGCTGTGGAACCGGACATAATAAACTTCTAAAGAGCCCTGATATATTGCAGCAGTAAAACATGCACAGCTCTGGCTCTAGGAGAAGAAGATCTGGTGTAGAGAAGCAGGAGCTACCTGCATTCCAGATGCAGTGGAAGGATTCTCATCAATCCTTAAATCAAACTTAAACGGGACAAGAAAAAATGTAGGACTATTGTTGATGATGTCATCACAACTCACTTATTTATGATAAAGATGTAACTCTCTGACCTTTAGCTTTTTTTACTAACTATGGCTACACCAGGTATCCAGCTGGAAAACTATATTAATGCCATGCATGGTTCTGGAATTTGGAACAAATTTTTGCAAAAAAAAAAACAACTCTCCAAGCAACCCCAGAAGACCACTAAAAAAGTTTTTTTAAACCAATATACTGGAGGTCACGTTATGGTTCTGTTTTTAAGGCTAACACTTATCTCCATCTACAAACAGAGCAGAATGGGGGATAAAAGGAGCAGAAATAAAGAGAAAACAACTTCATATTCTTCAACAGACGTCCCTGTTTGTAATCTTCCACCATCTCTCTGAGCTAATGCCAGGCTGGGTAAGAACTCTTTGGCTGTTTTTCTGATTCTCTTTCCCAGTGAGCCCAGAATGGACAGTCACATGCTGGATGGCTCATGACCCATGAGGTTTTATTTCAGGAACGGACTTTAAAGGTTTGCACAGAGCTCACAGGATGGACGACTCACACTTAAATGGTGTTCCTTTAAACCAGTTGGTCTAAAAAATAAATAAATTAATAAAAAAAAAAAAAAATATATATATATATATATATATATATTGTGTTGACATTATAATGATTCTTATCCCAACGTACCTTCCAGGAGGGGATCGAAGTGCTTTTCTCTCCATTAGATCATTAAACTATTGTTTATATCAAATAGAAAACCCACGTACTGGAGGTTTTCTTCCTGTTAAAAGGGAGTTTTTCCTCTCCACTGTCGCTACAAGCATGCTTATTGTGAGGGATTGCATTCGAGTCAATGAGTCGATGCAATCAACTGGTTTTCCTTAGATAGAAAATTTGACTGTATGATCTGGTGAACTGTAAAGTGCCTTGAGATGACATGTGTTGTGAATTGGCGCCATAGAAATAAACTGAATTGAACTGGAGTGTATACAGAGAGTAAAGAAAAGCCATGGCAACCAAAACGAACAAACATTTGTCTAAAGATCTTGATGACAATAAGAAAATATCCAATTGATCCAGGAACCAAACCTTGGAGGGAAAGTTTCTCTGCTGCTTCAGGAACAAGAACTAGAGTAACTAATTGAGCAGCAGGTACCAGAATGTTCATCTAGAGGAGAATCTATGACCATCCTCTTATGAATTTATACGCCAGTGGCTCACTCTGATTAAATAATTAGAACTGCCAGCAGATGGCGACAGTATACAAGAATGTTTATTTTAGGCTTTGTGCGGGGGCTGATTTCAGGCCCAACAAGGACAAAGTAAAACCTATCAGGATGAAAAATTGACACATATTGTTTTTTGAGGATGGATGTATGTTTTTTGGGATTTTTTTATAGATATAATACATGACTTAGCTCTTTAAGTTCTTTAAGGCCCTTTAGCTTAAGCAGAAAGATGACGATAACATAGCTTGACTATAGAACCATCTTTTTTAGCCATTCCAACTCTGAATGGCTAAAAAAAGACGTTCTGGAGTCAAGCTCTTGGCCAACTTAAATCAAATTCATTGAGGAAGACTGGGACAAAATGTTTGTAGTAAGCCATATTCTAGCTACTGGTATCAAGAGGGTACCAATTTATACTTCTGACGCATAGCCTCTGCAACCGTCAAATCTATCTCTGTGTGCGACAACGCCCCCCACGCAGAGGTTCTGCAACCGTCATTGCCCATCTCAAAAAAATCCTGACTATACGAAGGACTCACCGGCCTAAAAACAAATGTGATTGGTCCTTTCCGGGTGTCTGTGTGGTCGACCTTCTTGATTCGGTGCCGGGGCGCGCCATTTTAAAAAACCAAGGAACAACAATGGATACTCTAGATCCATCTCTGTGAACGGGATATCTTCCAGACGCGTCGTTGTTTTCGAAAATAACCACTCCCGCCGACACTGCCGAAAAAGTTCTAGTGACCATCCGCCGTAGTTCTCGCAAGTTCTTTAGGCTCCCCCTAGAGCTTTGCTGTGCGTCCCTAGAAATTCCAGACCGACGTTGCAGAAGCATACCAGCAAAACTGGTTCGCGACCAGACCCCAGCGACATTTGATATGTGCGGTTGCAGAAGTATAATCCGCCCTTAAACCGGAAAGGTATTATTTCCTGAGCTTACAGGAAGAATAATGTCTGTCTTTCTGTTAGGAAACAAGGACAGGCTCAGAAAATTTACCTCCTCTACTCAAAGCTGGGTTAGGGAGAATCTACTAAACTCTCTCTAATTCTGGCGTCATGTCAACGACTGAAACTACTCAACCGGCTACAAACTGGCAGGATTGGACGTGCAAGCCAACGTAGACTTGCCGCATGCTCTAAAACAACCAAAAACAATGGCAGTTTTTACACTTGCTGTCCTGTTTTATAGTCCTTTTAACTTCAACATATTTTTCTCCTCTATGGGATTTTGTGAGGTATGTCCTTTTGTCGACTGACATAAATGCCTCTTTACGCACACCTGGGTTAGTCGTTCTTGCCCTGCTCTTCTTTTTCCTTCTTCCTTCAGTTCTGTGGTACTGTAGCATTAGTGCGCTCCTGATTGCTGTGGCATAAGTATTTTGACGGCTATTTTACGGCTCCCTTGGCTTCATGTGATTCCATTTTTACTATATTTATACTGTCTTCAGCTTTGTGTGAACCTGGTCTTAAGGAGTGTCTCCCATCACTCTGAATTAAAAAAAGTTACATTTTAAAATATTTGTATCTCTTATAATCAGTGCTACGTTATCATCTTTCGAAAAACAGGTCATGTCCAAACTAGAAGTTTGCCTAACAGAAGGAATAAGGATATAAAATGGCTTTTCCTCTTCTTTAAGGAACAGAACATTGATAAAGCCAGATTATTCAAACGTTATGTAAGAGAGGAAAAAGGGACGAAGGTGGACACGTATATCACCAAAACATTTGGCAGAACGCCATCAGAAAGGCATGAATGGGCTTGATTGGCTCACAAAGACATTAAACAAGCCCTGCAGTCCAGAGATAGGAACCGTGTTTCGTCTATTCCCCGGCCCTTTTCCCGTTTTCAGGCCCAACAATCTCACAACAACAGGACACTTCCTGACTTCTGAGGGGAAACCAAAAAATCTCTGAATCATTGTTGCGTAGGGCCTGATCTGGAGGAAATAACAGCTCTGAGAGTTCACCGAGGTCTGTGCCTATTTAACTTATAATCCTTCTATTGCATCAAGTCAGTTTTACACAGCTGTTAAGACAGGTGCCCATTCTAACCTGTTCCCAACACAGCCATTTCCTCAGCTGCCATCATACAATAAGAATCACTAAACTCTGGTTGGCCTGATTAGCTACCTGTGACTGAGGAAGGTGAGAGGAAAAGAGGAGGCTTTTGATGGAAGTTGATGTGTTAATCTACTGCACAGCAGAAGGGGTGACAATAGCAAAGAAGGTGCTCAGCTAGGGATGCAAGTTGTCAATTAATTAATTTATTATGTCTGAAAAACTTAATCGGAGTAATTGTTATCAATTGATTATTGACATAATCGTCAACTAATTTAGTAATCGATTAATCGTTAACTGGAGTGTGGAGACTTTAAGTCTTTAGCTGACAGAGAAACCCACTTAGAGCAGCAAATATACCAAAATTATTTTTAAAAAATGCCTAAACATTTGCATTTAAGAAAAACATCTCTTTCTCCTGTCAATATTCTCTATCTAGAACACCAACAAGTTTTAGTTTCACTTGATTTAATTTAGCAAAAAGAGTTCTGTAAAGAACTTTTGGTTATCCGATTATTAATTGATTAATCAAAAAAATTATTGACATATTAATCAATTTGCAAAATAATTGTTAGTTGCAGCCCAAGAATTTGTGTTGTGTATTGGCGTTATATAGATCAACTAAATTAAATTCATTAACCAGCGTCCATTTTATTGAATACCTTTTTGTATCAAGAGGATCTTTCAATAACATGAAGGGGGAAACATTATTTCACCAATATGCTGAATAGACTAAAGTACTTTGTTATATTTAACAATTTATTGTGCCTGACTTTAACAGTGACCATATAAACAACAAAAAAAGTTTTTTTAAGGTATAAGATGTCAAGAAAACAGAAACGTATTAGGTTACTGCATAAAAAAGTTGGATAAAATATGTGAGATTCTTGAAATTTTTAATGTACAGAAATAAAACTGTCATTAAAAGACAGGGTATGTCACTCTAACATACTGTCAGACTATTTACTGCTTCATTTCAATGAAGTGGACCAACTGGGAAATAGCTCACTGGTTTTAATGTAATAAGGCATCACTGCAAATACAAGCAATGCTTAAGAAGGAACACCAGCCGTCTGGTCAATGACAGCAAAACTACTATGAGAGAAACTCCTTTAAAGCAGACATTATCTATTATTTTTATCTAATAAGCCATTAATCAACAATTGATTAAAGTCAAGTATTTGTTACATATGCTCAATACAAATATTTAGGTTCCAATAAAGAATATTAGCCCAAAATGGGTTTAATTAGGCTTTACTTTGGGTTTTTTAAGGCAAAGTCATAAAAAAGTGTCTATATATAAATTGAATCTGTCCTTTATTGGAAAAACTGCTTGCGTTGTAAAAAAAGAATGACTATATTTACTAACA